TAACAATTTTATGCTTATTACTAACACGAAAAATATTATTAAATTAAAAAACAACAAAAAAAAAAATTTGAAAAAAAAAAATACCTTTTTTATTAACAGCATAAAATGCAAACGGCATGATAGTTATACAGAAATATATATATTTTACAAAAGCCGGATTTTTAAGCTATAAAATGGTATATAACAATGTCATTTTTAAGAATTTTTATTTTAAACTTTTCTCCACCACCTGGCCCACTGTGCTGTTGAAGGAAATAGTGATTGGAAAAATATATTAGTCTAGCTAATCATCCTCATCCCCAAAGCGAATCCGTCCTGTTGGCGCTTGGTTTGAGCTGAAAAATTGCTTGAAAGAATGAGAGACAATTCTCAAGGAAACACAGTCTAAAAAGATAGTCAGCACAGGAGCAATGTTTAAAAAAATCATTTAAATTCATGTTCTGAAGAAAGTGCAATTCATCCAAGAACATTATTATTAGAAGGAAATTCCTGATCATTACTTAAGCAAAACAGTAAATAATTTGATTAGTGTTACTGCCTTACAAAAAATTATAAATAATGTTCAAAATTCAAAATATTGTTCCATGATTTTGGTCTGATATTGGCCACCAAGAGCAAATGACTAAGATTTTGCAAATATGAAATATTGGGACTCCCAAATAAAATATTTCTACTGGTTTACTACCGATTTAGGAGTAAACCAGTAAAAACCAATAAATTCTTTGTGGAATTCCTACCTAACAATTCAAGGATTATTTAAGATCTTGCAGAAGCATGCTTACAAATGCTTAAACTTTTGAATATAAATTTTCAGAACTGCAGAGATCAAGGATAATGGAGCATACATGAAAGGCTGCAGCCATAGTTTGAAAAATCAAATATTTGAACGCAATCCCAGGTCATTTAATATGTATGCGGATGTCCCAGATTCAATCTAATTCTTGGAGACATTGCAAAATCTTCAGTTGATGAATCTTGGAACATTAAGCAAGTTTTAAACTATAGTTGGCAAATTGCAAATATTCAGAACCTTTTTTTTTTTTTAAATTGTTTCTAGTTGGCACAAGTACATACACCTCCCCATGGAAGACCTCGGGACGGCCCTGATTATAATAAACCATTAATTTTAATTTTTGCGAAAATTTTGTTATAAATCGTTTTAATAAAAAAATATAAAATCTCTTCCAAATCCAAAATGTTTCAAAATTTCAAACAAAATGTTCGTACCTAGCCTATCAAAAGCTTTCACCTGATCTATAGAAAATGAACAAGCATATAATTTGTTTGTTTTAGTATAACTTATAAAACTTTTTGTGTAAGTAAGATTATAGTTTACAATTCTGTTTTTAATACATGCTGTTTGGTTGCTTTGTATTATATTTGGTAATATATTTTTCATTCTATTTGCTAAACATTTTGTTAGAATTTTATAATCAAGATTTGTGAGTGATATAAGTCTCGAATTTCCTATATCATTTTTGTTTCCTTTTTTAAAAATAAATATTATTATAGCTTTTTTTTGGGGAATTTATCATTTCACCGGTAAACAAAACATCATTCAAGGTATTAGCTAAATCTTTTTTAACTATTTCGAAGAAGTTTTTATAGAATTTAATCGTCAGTCCATTCGAGCCAGGATGTTTTATTTCCCTCACTAAAATTCAGAAAATTTTCTATCAATTTTTTTTTATATTAAAATTCAAAAAGCGCTATATATTTTACTCTTTTTATTATGACTAGCAGTTAGCAACCCGTAATACACGTTGTTAGTAAATAAAATTAAAAAAAAAAACCGCGTATAGAAAAGCCTAGAAACTACTTTAAAATAGAAAAGCCGAGAAAATGACGTATCTCGACTAATAATAATAATATTAAATTAGCGTATTCATATTATCAGATTTACCAATACTTACATTCATGACATTAAACTGATTAAATAGTTTAAGGTCATGAATGTAAGTTGTAAGTTGAATCTAGGTTGTAATGTATGAATCGATTCTATATTGAGGTAGATAAAGCTTCTTAGCTATAGTTAAAGCAATTTAATTGTGCGTAAAGGTAGAAGATTGTAAACCTTATATTATAATCCACTATAAATACAATTCTGATCTTCAAAACAAGATTATATCACGTTCATCCAATTGTAAAAATTTGCTTCATCTTTTTTTTAATTATGTTAAAACATGTTAAAAAGCTGTATATATAAAACATGTTAAAACATGTTAAAAAGCTGATAATAGTAATATTTAAAAAATGGCATTATAGAAACTTGTTAAAGCCAAAAATAAGTGTTAAGCAAATAAGTGTTAAAGTTAAGTGTTAAAATAATGTGTTAAAATAAGTGTAAAACATGGACTCTAAAAAATATTCAAGTAATATTTTAAAAAACTATATAATTACAAAAACCAAACGAATGAAAATTAAACTGTAAAATGTAATTTTGAAGTATTCTGTCTAACAAAACTGAAAAAGTTTTTTGACCATTTTTTTCCTTATAAAGTATGAAATCGACAATAATGAATTAAAAACTTACATGAATAAGAATAAGTATCACTCGTATAGTTAAAAACTAGTAAATTGAGTGACACCTCAAAAACAAAAAAATAAATTAAACATAGAGATGTGTTTTATTTCAATATTATGTTTAAAAAACATAAAGAAATCTAATATAAAAAATTAAAGAAAAAAAAGAAAGTTAAAAAAAATAAATTACTTATAAATAATAAAAATATTAGCAATAATAAATAATGATAACATGTATTTAATAATAAAAAACTATAATATGATAACTATAACAAAAATTATAGCTAATGCTAAAAATTAATTTTAATGATTATATAATTTTTTATTATGCGATAAAATATAAAAATAAACATATCAACTGCAAAAATAATTATAACACCAATAATAATGCTATTATCACAACAGAACCACTATTACTATCATTACATAACAGATGTTCCCTCAAAAATAGAACTACAATAAAACATTTAAAAAAAGTATAAGCATATTTTTTTGAAAAAAATCAAATTAAGATTATTTTTCTGGACTAAAGTACATTTAATATTGTTAGTCAATTATTTTCTGGTAATCCTTTAAGACAAACTGCATTCAATCTTCTTTTAGTCGAGCTTGCAAGCTGCTGTAAACCTCTGGAGTGATTCTTTTTTTAAGCAATACTTGATTCTTCCAATTATTTTCTGAACATTTTAGGTTTCTTATTTTCCCTTGTAGACTAAACCTTTTAAATAACCCCAAAAGTCTTTGATTAGCTTTATCTCAAAAAGCCAGATTGCTTGAACACTAGCCTAGTTATTCCTTTGGGAATAATTGCAAGCCATACCAGTACTTTGCTTTGGAACTTAGCTTTTCTTTTGTACTTGAGGTCAAGAGTAGTATTCTTGGGGTCACTGGAGTAATACCAATTATTCCCAACAACTTTAGAGTTTGACAAAGTAAAATAAGGTTCATGATTTAAAATAAAACTTTTAAAAATCTTTTTTTAATTAAGCGTCTGCATTTCGGTCATGCAACAGCTCTTTGCTGCTCAGACTGTGTTTTATTGATTCCCAGTGACATTGTTTGATGGTTGTCGTTATTTTTAACAATTTATGAGTGTGTGTAATTGAAATTTTGAATTTTTTGGCTTCTTTTCTTATGGTTGCTTTTGGATTATTATCAAAGCAAGCTGGTTGACTTTTTGTAATTTTTGTGCCATTTCTTTTCAAAAATCTTTTATTTTCTGCACTCAGTTCACTTTTATTTTTTTTAATTATGCAATATACAGTTGTTTATGAAACATTTTTCGCTTTAAAATGATTATGAGTAAACAGTTTTCCTTGTGTAATGTTATTTTTGTAGAATTTGTACATGTGTTTTCTTGCGTATACTTTTTTTGAGCTCATTTTTATAACTAAAGAAAAATTATTTTTAGCTTGTAATTACATTTTGTCTAGTTTACATAAACTTTAAGTCAAATGTTATTATTATTAACATTAGTACATAAGCTATTGTATTTTGTGGAGTTCCATTTTTGAGGGAACACTGTTGTTAATAAGGAACTAAAAGAAAGATTAATTGTAATAGTAATAAAATTAAAAATAGTATAAAATAAAAACCCAATTTTTTCAATACATTTCAATGTCACATGTGTACAAATCTACATTCAATGTCTACATGATTACAAATCTACATTGATCTATAGTAGATTTTACCTAAACCTTATATATAAAATAGCAAGCCAAACATAATCTCAAGACTAGACATACGCTGATTTAATCCTTGACATCTGTAACTTGTGGATAATATATTTAAATTTATTTAAAATTTATTTGGTTTAACATTTTATAAAGAATAAGATAATATTTTTAGATGTCGTAGTTGCATATTTTGATAATTTAATAGTATTATTTTATAATAATATAATAACAATTTTTAATTTATTATTTATTTTTTGATTTATCTCTGGTGTATAAGCCTGTATAATATATCTGGATAAAAAATCTTGCCACCACTTTTATTCCCACCCCACCTTGTATTAAACACCCAATAGTAAAATGAAGAAGAATAACTATATGGTATAATAATAGTCTTAATATGATAAAAATTTAAATAAACTAAATAATTTTTTTTATCAGTAAGTTTATATTTTCTAATAAATTATTATATAAATAAATTAGTAAATGGTGTGTATATGTGTGTGTGTGTGTGTGCATGTGTGTGTGTGTGTGTGTGTGTGTGTGTGTGCGTGTATGTGTGTGTCTTAATATGCTCAAGGTGGGTGGGAAAACGCTATAAAATTATGAAAGGTTTCCTTCTGTGTATTAAGCATCTGAGAATAATAAATGAACAAATGGTAATTATGTTGTTGCATTTTTTATTAAATAATGTTTTTAGATTATATTTAATACTTTTTAAATTATGTTTTTATTTTCTTGTAAGCATAAGTTTTATTTTATAGAATTTGTTTTTACTATAGCTTTATTATTTTTTAAAAAGATGCTTTTCATAATCGCATTTTGGCATGTTCCTTCAATAATCATAATTGCAATGCTCAAAGCAGTGGCTTTATTTATAGTGTTGACACTCCATCCAAAAATCTTCCAAACAATTCTTTTAATCCAGGTAAGTTATAATTGTTTTAAATTTTTTTGATCTTTATTCAGAAATTCATTCAAGTAAAAAAATTCATTCAATGGAAAAAAAGCATTTAATTGCAGTTAAGAATTTTTTTTGTTAAAGTAACAGATTGTTTAATATAATTTATTAATTAAAAGATTTTAAATTAATTATGATTTTAAAATTCAAAATGTTAATTTAATTTTGAAGGAATGTAAAACAGTAAAATTTAGAAAGTAAAATTTAGTTTCAAAAGAATGTAAAATAGTTTACAATAATTGTTAAATAAGAAATTTTTTTCTAATAATCTGCTAACTGATGCATAATCTAAAACAGCATTAGAGATTAAAATGTGTGAAAATAACTAAAATTTTTTTTTTTTTTGGCTTATAGAAGTTTAAGAGAATTTTGTTTAAGAGAATTATTTTTTCAATTGGATTTAAAGTTTATGTTTCTTATTAATTTAATGTTGTGTAAAGGTTTATTTATAAACATAAATTATTTGTACGAGTATATTTTACTGGTAACTGATAAAATCTATCTATAATTTGTTTATAATTTTTTTAAAAAATAGTTCATTAAATAAGGTGAATTACATTTATAAGCGTTACGCATTTTTTTTGTTTAACATCTTCACTTCAAACAAGGCTGCAAGCAACCAGTAAAAGAGTTAGAAGTTACCGAAAGAGAAAAAATGAAGTTTATAAAGCAAGATAACAATTAACAGACAAACTGAAAGGTTGCAAGTTGTATGAATCAGATGAAGGGAGCGAATTTCAAAGAACTGATGTCTGAGGTAAAAAACTAGATGAATAAGAATTTTCAGAGCACTTAGGAGCAGTCAAAGTAGGATTCGACTTATTATTATGATAACGCAAGAATGAATTTTAGTAGATGGCACAATAGGCGCTAGTTCTTTAAAGCAACGCCCATTATAGTATTTATAGAAAAGAGAAAGGGAAGCAACATTTTTTTATCATTTTTACTCATTAAGGGGGTGACAGCTTATATTTTTCAAAAATGTTGTTTTTAGGGACAACCTAATATATATATATTCACTTATAATCTAAATTTTTTTTGTTAAAAATTCTTTTAATAGATATCGGTCCTGGTTACATTTATGGATTTAATGCAAGTACATTTCGAATAAATATTTATGGAAACTTATATACTAATATACACAATTTCAATGTGTATATAACTATGGCAATATATTCAGAAAGTAGAGATAAATCTGGTATGGTTTATTTAAATTTTTGTAATTTATCTTTAATAATATTGACAATATATTTTACACAATTAAACTTTAAATAATACATTTTAGTTTTTTTTTTTGTATTTAAAAAAAAAAAAAAAAAAAATTAAATATGAAAATGTTTTGGATTTTTTGAAGTTAATCATAAATACTTTCTTTAACAGAATTCATTTTATGACAGGTTTTCCAAAGGTTGTGTTTAAAACAGGTTTTGTATATTAAACACAACTTTAAAAGATAATGAAATAGTTTGTATTTTTGTTAAATTTCTTAAATATTATCTGTTTTCTTTCTTGACTTGTAACAATTTTTTATCAAACAATCATCTTAAAATTATGAATTATACTGTAAAACTATATGTCAGGTCAGGTTATCCTGCTACTGGTAACATGTAACCCAGTACAATCTGCTTCATGTCCTGCTACTTTGTAGGATACGCTTTTTTATACAAAGGCTAGGAGAAGCCAACTCCGATTTAAAACAGCCTTTACTCAACCAAGAGCCTTGGGGCTCTTGGTTGAGTTACGGCTAGAGATAATGTCTCTATAAAAAGACTCATCTTGGGCAGATGTTAAATGCATCCGGCAAAGACTTAAGGGGTAAAGATATTCTATTTGTTGACCAACCTTGCACCCCTTCCTCATCTATTAGGCTGGCGCAGATGTATTTATAATACATTGTTTCCAGTTTAGGACATTGAATGCTAGATCTTTCTGACTCAATGCATAGGTTTATGACTAGGCAACTCGTTCTATTATCTCCTAATGAGGGTGCAGCTCTAAAACTAAGTTTTATGGTTCTGAGTCTGGCTGGTAGTCAGGTTTCCTGAACTTTGTGGTAGCTCTCAGAGAGGCTGATTCCATCAACAGCTGAAAAATATCAGAGTATTAACAGTGTCATGTTGTGCATGGATGGTGTCCCTGTTTGTACTTTTGGTGTGCATTGTCAAGGCCACATTTGGAGCCCTTTGTTATGGCTTAGGGTTTATTAATAGTAATGAGGCAATTGCTTGGACTATTAAACAGTGTACTGAGTAGTGTCTATGCTTTGAGTCAAGCTCTTTATTAAATTTAAAAATCAATAAAGTACCAAAAACAATAAAATACAAAAAACTATTGCCATCACTAAGTTCTCTAAGTCTATCATTTAATAATATTCGTGGTCTTCGAAGTAACTTTTCTTCTGTTGAGTCTTATCTTTTGCAAAGTTTACCAGACCTACTTGCTCTTTATGAGACTAAATTGAGTTCAGCTGTCTTTTTTCGTGATCTTAGTGTTGATGGTTATCTTCCTTTAATTCGTAAAGACTTCAACAGTCATGCCCTATTTCTTTATGCATCAGCCAATATTGTTGTTGTTGGTGACTTTAATACTCATCACACTGAATGGCTTGGCTCTAGTTTCAGTGACTCTGCAGGCATTAAAGCCCACGACCTTTGATTTTCTCAATCCCTAACTCAAATAGTCAACTTTTCAACTCATTTTTCAGACAACCTGATTCATTTACCTTCTCTACCTGACGACTTATGTCTTGTTTCTGATCCTAGTCAGTGCTCAGTTTCTCCACATTCACTCTTAGGTGTTTCTGATTGCTGTTTGATCTCTCTAAAACTATTATCTCATTCTTCTTTATCATTTGAATCCCCCTATCAATGTACCTCTTACAACTACCCTAAGCTGACTGGGACTCTTTCCGTGATTTTCTTTGTGATGTCCCTTGGTTAAAATTTTTTTTGTCTTCCTGCTGACAAATGTGATTCTTATGTAACTTCTTTAATTCAGGCTGGTATTGAATATTTTATTTGCTTTCGGCAATTCCAAGTCAAGCCTCACATTTCTCCATGGTTTTTCTCTCATTGTACTGCTGCAATTTCTAATTATAACCATTACTTATATATTTATATAACCATTACAAAGCGATTCTCCAGAAAACAGACTTTTGTTTATTACTGCTATGAACCATTGTAAAAAGGTTTTGTCTAACGCCAAAGCCTTCTATTCTAAGGTCATGAAATCTTGTATTTCATCTCCAAAATTAGGCTCTCGTGACTTATGGAGAATCTTTAATAGTATCAATAATAAGGGCAAAGTTATTCCACCTCATCTGTATGGTTCAGACTTTGTCACCAAACCTAAAGACAAAGCTAAATTATTTGCTAAGAGCTTTTCATCAATTTCATCTCTTGATTCCACTAGTTACGTTCTTCCTGAGTTAGTCGTCAAACAGGTTGATCCATTTCTTGACATTTATATCACTCCAGCTTCTGTATCTAAAGTGATTTCCTGCTTAGACTCTTCTACAGCTTGTGGTCCGGACAACATATCTGTTATAGTCTTGCAGAAGTGTTCTTTGGAGCTGGCGTCTATACTTTTAAAACTATATAACAAGTGTTTATCAGAGTCTTGTTTTCCAGCCTGTTGGAAAGCAGCATCTGTTATTCGTATTTTCAAAAATTCCGGAGAATGATCTCATTCATCTAACTACTATCCCATTAATCTTCTTATCATAAGCAAGGTTTTCAATTCTTTAATTAACAAACACTTAGTCTCTCATCTTGAATCTAATAACTTTTTGTTCATCAATATGGATTTCGATCTTCTCACTCTATGGCTGATTTGCTAACAGTAATAACCGATAAGTTTTATCGTGCATTAGATAAAAGTGGAGAGGTTAAGGCCATCGCTCTTGACATTTCTAAAGCGTTTGATAAAGTATGGCATGCTGGTCTTCTCCATAAGCTTTCTTCTTACGGTATATCTGGAAACATACTAAGATTATTGAATCCTTGCTTTCCAATTGTAGTATAAAAGTTGTCTTTGATGGACAGCGCTCTTCTTCTTATTCTGTAATCTCAGGGGTTCCTCAAGGTTCAATTCTTGGCCCTATACTCGTTTTAATTTACATTAACAATCTTCCAGATATTCTCATATCTAAGGTGACATTGTTTGCTGATGATACTACCTTCTTTCTTGTCATAAGAAGCCAACACTCTCATTTTGAGTGTTGACTTCTTTCATCAAATTTGAGCTTGAAAAGGATCTTACTTCTGCTACAGCATGGGACTCACAGTGGCTAGTGAACTTTAATTCAGATAAAACTCAATCTATCAGTCAATGGTTATTGCAATAACTTAGATCTTCCTATATCTATAAACAGTAATGTACTCATTGAGTCATCTACCCTATATCTATAAACTGTTATGTACTCAATGAGTCATCTACCCTTTATCTTCAAGATAAACTCTTACTTTTGATCTTTCTTAGAAACCATATATCAAATCCGTTGCAAAATTAGTATCCACTAAAATTGCATCTCTTTATCGAGCTCGAGGCTTTCTTACTTCGGATTCCATTCTCTACCTCTATAAATCTCGAATCCAGCCTTGTATGGAATACTGTTGCCATATCTGGGGCAGATCTTTTAATGATGCCCTTTCTCTTTTAGAAAAAGTGCAAAAATGCATTGTAAACACAACGCTCAAAATAACAGCCGATCAACGATCAATGATCGGCTATTTTTAGAGAAATTTAGAAAAATTCAAGGGAAAATAAGCTGTTTTTGTCAAAAAATTACATTTGATTGGCAAGTTTTAAAAAACTATTTCGAGCGCTGTAAACATAGTTGGACCTGCTCTTGCAGCCAACCTCCAACCATTATCACATCGTTGAAGTGTTGCTTCTCTTTCTTTTTTCTACAAATACTATAATAGGCACTGCCCTTAAGAGCTAGCGTTTCTTGTGCTACTAAAATTCATTCATCGTGTTACTCATCATTCAATCCTTTTTCTGTGACTGTATCTAAATGCTCCAAAAACTCTTATTTGTCTAGTTGTTTTCCGTGAACATCAGTGCTTTGAAATTCGCTTCCTTCATGTTGCTTCGTGGTTCATATAGTTTGCAATCGTTTAAGTCGTCTGTTAATCGTTATCTTGCTCTATAATTTTCATCGTTTCTCTTCCAGTAACTTCCAATTCTAATAGTGATTGCTTGCAGCCTTGTTAGAAGCAAAGATGTTGAAAAAAAATTATATATATGATAAAACACGAATCCATAAAAAAGGCTTCGTATAAAAAATACTTCATATCAAATGTTGGAAAAAACCCAAGGTTATTTAAAAAAAAACCTTACACAAATAGTTTTTTTTGGGATTTTTATGGATGTTTTGGGTTTTTTTTAAAACTGATCTTAGTTTTTGTAAAAATATTTACTTTTATTTTTAATTCACCTCCCCATAGCTCCTGTGTCCACTACACATTTTTCTAAAAAATATATACAATCCCATAAGAGGTAATATGCAGAGAAACAGATTGAGCACAGTAGTTTTGATGACACAGGATGACCTTTTGATCGTTCAACATGTTACTTCAAAAACTAGTTTGGGCAAGTTTACAAAATGTGTTTTACAAGTTTGCAGTATGGTGTTGCCGCCTTTTTGATTACCATCTATGGGGGTTACTATAAATGCTTTTTAAAGATTTTTGCATAATAGAAGAAAACTGTTAGCCTAATTGCAACTTTTTTTTTAACAGAACATTATACTATCCAACTACCAGGAATAGGACTGATTAACAAATTCTTTAGTATTCTGATTTTATATGTGCATATTTGTGTTTTTTAAATTGAATGAGAATGAAAAGCTAACATGGGGTGACTATAAACTCTCCTTGTTTTTATTTTTTAGATCATGGATAGATTTTTTTAGATCATGGATAGATTTTTTTAGATCATGGATACTTCTTAAGTGTAACTTGTTTTATAACCTTGATTATTTTTCTTTTTTTGTAATTTTGAAATATAGTTTTTAAAATAAGCGAAAAAAAAAAAAGAAAACTGTACCCTACACACCCTAGTGGAAATATTTCTTACGAAAAAAAAGTACACCAGAAACGGATTACATTTTACCTTGTTCTGTTATGACCTAGATTTTAAAAATATTCTGTTGATATCTAAAAAAATAAAAAGGGGTTAAACAAGCTGGTCCAG